CCACTGAATTTTCAGAATAAGATTTTTTGTGGTTTTTCAGGTTCGTTTTTAATAAATTCTGAGCAGTCAACCGTGTCCTCTACAGAAATTTCACTCATGTTTTCGTCCTCGTTAAGCTCAGATGCATTTTCAACATCAATTTTGTTTTCTGAGCTTACGTTGGCGTTTAAAGAGTCAAATTTTTGCATGGTTTCGGTTCTCAGTTTAAGTCTGTCATTTTCATCCAAAAGGTTTTTAAGCATGTCCTTGTGGTCCTTGGATTTAATGAAGGACTCAATTTTGTCCAGTCCATACATGTAGGTCGGATTGACATCATCAACGATATCACACTCTCACAATTGTAGGCTTCGGCATCGATTTCATCCTCCTTAAACTCTAGGAAGGGCAAAATCATGCGATGGATCTTTTGGCCTATTTCACAATCCAAGTGAAGCTGAGTAATATTAGAATACAAACGTTTAGCAATTAAACAAAAAACATTCCGCTGTTTTAACAATTTTAAATTGTCTCTTTGCAAATAAATGTTTTCGTCTTTAACTTTAACTAATTCCGACTCTTTAACTCGATCCACATTCTCCGCTCCTCACTCTTCGACGCCACCCTGCTTAATTGATCGTTAGGTTAGAATTGGTGACTCGAGTTTGAGTTAAGCTACTATCTAGATGAGAAATTCTTGTATTAACGTTTTTTAGTTCTTTCTCATATGAGGATGGTGGTACTTTGGATAAAATAAACACAGATTGTACCTTCTTTATCAGTTCATCGAGCTCATTGAACTGCTGGCTAAGTGGTTTGGCCGTAAAGCACATGTCCTCCTGTACCTTCGGTCCATCGCTTCCTCCATCGGTGTTGTATCCCCTCATTTGAGATACGTCAGTCACCATGAAGCATCTTCCTCCACTGCTTTCCTCCTTAGCCACATAAGCCTTTCCATGGGTAGGCTTCCTTACTTCATCGTCTTCTGAGTCGGTAGACCAAACTTCCGTGCTACCAAACTTGTCATCTTTAACCGAACCCTGCACAATGAGAGCATTAATAGAAGGGTTAGCGGTAGACTTCTTCTTTCTCAACTCGTCCAATCTTTTCTGCAACACAGCTTCCTCATCATTTCCATCATCCTTTTCAGCCATCTTCTTAAGGACACAGTCCTTAGCATAGTGGTTTTTCCCACCACAGTAGAAACAGCTTACTCCGGAATCGCCATCCACCTTCGGTTCCTTCTTGTGCTCCTCAGCCTTCGGTTCATTGTTCACCTTTTCAGAGCTGTAACTCCCCTGCCAGTTTTGGTTTTTGTTGCTGGGGAATCTCTTCTTTATGAACCTCTTGGGATTGGACACCATCATGGCATAATCCTCAGACGTGAGATCATATTCTTCCAAGTTGAGGTCTTCATCCTCCATCACAGCTTTACTTTTAGATAGGAGGGCCAACGAACCAAGACTAGAAACGACGTTCTTTTCTTGCACCACAGTCTTCTCTTGGGACTTAAGAATACCCACCAGTTTCGCCAAAGAATATGATTTAAACTGCTCATGGGCTTTGACTGTGGAAACTATTACTCTCCATTCAGACCTCAGTCCGTTCAAGAAAGTAACCTTCTGTTCGATAAGCTTCCTTTCAATATCGTGTTTGATCATCTTGCTGAGAAGATGATTGAAACGATCAAACGTCTGGGTCACCGTTTCTTCGGCTCCTTGCCTGAATTCTCCAAACTCAGATAAAAGCAAAGTTTGAATAGAATGTTCAAAATCCTCGTCTGTAGAGTACAGTTCACGAAGTCTATCCCAAACTTCCTTTGCCGTCATGCATGAGCTGACCAACCTGAATGTGTCGGACTGAAGGGCGAATCTGATCAACCTTAACGCCTTAATATTGCACTGGAATTTATCCTTTTCATCTTGTGCAATATCCTTCACGTCCTTTAGCAGATCATTGTACTCCTTTTGTGTCTTGATGATTCTGGACGATGCAGAATGAGAAAACGGTCCATTGGTGATGGCTTCCCATATGAGGTACCCATTGTCCTCCGATCCAATCACGTAGTCTTCAAAGTGATGCGCCCATACTTCATAGTCATGGGTGTATAAGATTGGAATCTTTGTCGTTGAACCGATGCTGTTGGAAATATTAATAAGGTTTGATTGCGTCGCGTCCATTATGATCGTAAAAACCTGTTCAAAGATCAGACTTGTAATAAAGCAGATTAGGGCAAAACAATAAATATCAAGATACGTCAATAAAGAGATGACGGCTCAATAAATATTGATAATTGCGGAAAAACCCTAATGGAAATCTTTTTCATAGAAAAGATGTGTATTGATTACACAGCCTCCTGCTCTGATACCAATTGATGAGATTAAACTAACCTTTAATCTACAAAGATCGATTAGATCTTGAACAAGTATATAAACATAAAACAGTATGAACGTAATAATAAGAACAACTCAAGATGGAATCAAACGTGTCGAATGATTAAACAAAATCCTCAGAAGAGCTCTATTAAGAACATCAACTGTAGAGGATTGGAAGGTTACAAGAACGATTAAAGTAACCTGTTATCGTCTAGATGAATCGCTATTTCGTAGATCTCTCAAAACGTTAACCTAATATGCATGCAAGCATAAACTTATATACAAGACATAAAAGGTTCTCGGTTGGACAGGCCCAAACCAGAATACAAAATAACTTATGCTATCGAGCCCAAAAGACGCAATCTTCAAAATAATCTTCAGCCCAACACCCTTCACCTATGGTTTTTGGCCAATGCTTACAACATAGAAACCTTAGCTGATTTTCTACATATTCCCTCATCTCTCCTCTCATCCTCTTGCTACAAGTGTTTGTGAGCCATTAGAGGTGCAACATTTAAGGCACTAAAGCTTTCAAGAGTCAAGATCAATCAAGGAATTCTTGTTATTGCTATATAACAAGCAAGGTAATATTCTTAACCGTCTTTATATATGAATTTTGAATTATATATGCTAGATCTAGGGTTATTGCTTTGGAATTTCTTTTGCATGTTAAATTAGTAATAAACTTAGATCCAAAGCAATTAGGGTTGCATGAATGTATATGATGTTGTTATGCTCAAAACCCATCAGTAGTATCAGAGCCTATGATGTTTTTCAATTAAATTTGATGCTTTGGTGAACTGTCCAAAGCAGAAGCAAAACAGATTCACAATCTGTTTGCAGAACTTGACGAGTTCAATGAGGAACTCGACGAGTTCATAGCCTGACTCGACGAGTTGACTCATTAGATGTCTGTTTTTTCAACTTTCAGATCTTGTTTGGCTTAGGATAATTACCATAATTCGTTTTCAATACCTTAAATTGAATTTCCTGAACGGTAATCTAATTTCCTTATCAAATAAGATTGATTTGGTCAAATTTTAAGAGGATGATAAAATGATTTTATTAATTTAATTTATAAAATTTTAATTTTGGAATATTAAATTCTAAAACCCTAGTATTTTAAAAGTTTATAATACAACATTATACTATTTAAAATTAAAAGTCAAATATTATATATGTATAAGAACAGTCAGTCTTATCGTTAGTAAGCCTCATTCACGAAGTTGGTTTATAAGAGATGTTTAAGGAAGCGGCCTATAAATGACCACCATTGGGTATCCATTCTTACCCACCGCACTCTTGACTAATGGAGGGTCGTTAGCCGAACGGGTAGGATAGGACATTAATCAATCATTAATAAGTATAATGATAAATATAAAGTAACTAAATATTTTTTTATAAAAATTTTCAATCTTAGTTACTTTAGAAAAATGTGAATTTGATGCTAATCCATGAAATTTCACATTGCACTTTGTCAAGTCGTTAGTGGAGCGTGTGCGGTTAATCAACACACTAACTTGGACTAACAAATGGTGGCAATGGGTAGCTCGTAAATTATCATTGATCGATGGAGCGTGTGTCGTTAACCAACACATTTATTAGGTGGTAAATGACAACGAGAGTACCAATTTATAATAAAATTTAAAATTTGGGCCAAAAATGTAAATTATTGACCAAATTTGTAATAAATTTTGAAATCTGGGTCAAAATTGTAATTTTTGAAAGTTGGATGACCTGTTGACCGGTAAAATGATTAAATTGAATACGATTACTGGTTTTTGAGACTTAGGGGGTGTTTGGTTATGGAAAAAATAGGCTGCTTATTGCTTAATTCCACCGCAATAAGCAAATTTAAGTGTTTGGATAGCAGTCTTTAAAAATCAGTTACTGCAGCAGGAATAAGCCATTTAAGCTGATTTTAATAAGCATCAAGGAGGGGGAGGGGGGGAGGGGGAGGGGGGGTTGTTGGAATGCTTATTGCTTATTGTTTGTTAGTCATTTTACTCATATAAGCTGTTTTGTTTGTCAAACACTTAAAATATTTATTGTTTATTGTTTATTTCCACCGTAATAAGCTAATCCAAACAGATTTTAAAAAAATGTTTATTTCCACCACAATAAGGGGGTGTTTGGATTAGATTTTTAGCTTATTGCTTATAGCTTATTTGTGGTGGGAATAAGCAATAAACAATAAGCTTGGGGATGGATGCTTATTAAAATTAGCTTATTTAGCCTAATAAGTTGGATTTTATCAAAACACTTAAATTAGATTATTGTGGGAATAAGCAATAAGCACCTATTTTTTTTTTCCTATCCAAATACCCCTAAGCTAATAATTTAAAAATTATTTATCCAAACCTCTTTCGTTAAATAAAAAAAATTATAGACTAAATGGAGAATACACGAGATGCAGTTTCAATAATAAAGTTTTATCTGCGTGTTAAATATTAGCTTGTTACGATTTATTTTAGTTTCCCGTCCGGATACCTCTCGCCGAATCCTGACCCAAATCAATTGGCACGCATAATTTCTCACACACTCAAAACCCTAAACCGCCGACTCCATCCGTTCCCGTGACGCTAGTTGCCGATTTGCAGGTATTGGTACCTCCATCAATCTCTCATCTTCTTCCTGTATTTAATTAGTTACAGATCGAAACCTATGAAACATCTCGTTTATCCTATTCGTTTACCGAACGATTGGTTTTAACTCTTTCTCCTAAGATTTGAATCTCGTAAATTTTTATTCTTATAACTGTCGTTTGTTTCTCTCGATTTTCTTTAAGAATTTACATATCATCGTGCAGATTTAGGTTTACTGGGATTTTCTATACGTTTGTCAGTGAGATAAGAAGATGGCGTCAAAATTTTGGAGTAATCAGGTTTGTTTTTTAGCCTTCAATGATAAATACAGATCAATTGAAACTTTATTCGTTACATTCGCGAACCAGATTATGCACAAATCAAGAGAATTTAACGGAGTTATAACTTTCTATTTATTAAGAGCAATTGTTTAGATATGCTAAAGAGGATTCGTGTTCTAATTTTTGTCTACATCAATAGGCTGACAGCGAGACTGAGTCTGAAGTGAGTGATTATGAACAAGACGATGTTAATGAAGGACAGGAAGATGCTACCAATGCACCTGATAGGAACAAATACCTTGACACTGGGGACAGCGACAGTGATGATTCAGACATGCACAAGCGTGTTATCAAGTCTGCAAAAGACAAACGCTTTGAGGAGTTGTCTACCACCATTGATCAGATGAAGAACGCAATGAAGATCAATGATTGGGTCAACTTGCAGGAGAATTTTGACAAGATTAACAGGCAGCTTGAGAAGGTCATGAGGGTGACAGAATCCGATAGGGTCCCCAACAATTATGTCAAGGCGTTAGTGATGCTTGAAGACTTCTTGAATCAAGCCATGGCAAATAAGGAAGCAAAGAAGAAGATGAGTAGCAGCAATGCAAAGGCATTGAATGCAATGAGACAGAAGTTGAAGAAGAACAATAAGCAGTATGAGGATTTGATCAATAAATGTAGAGAAAATCCAGAAAGCTTTGAGGATCAAGAGGAAGCTGAAGAGCCTTCAGAAGATGAAGATGAAGATGATACTGGTTCAGAGATTGATGACCCAACAAAGTCAGGGACAGAGTCAGAAGGCGAGTCAGATGACAATGAACATGATGAAGACATGGATGAAAACCAACCTGGTTGGGAGAGAATGATGAACAAGAAAGATAAGCTAATGGAGAAACAGTTTAAAGATCCAAGCCAAGTGACATGGGATATAGTCAACAAGAAGTTCAAAGAAGTTGTTGCAGCTCGTGGTAGAAAGGGGACAGGAAGGCTTGAGCTTGTTGAACAGTTGACTTTCTTGACCAAAGTGGCTAAAACTCCTGCTCAAAAGCTAGAGATCCTGTTCAGTGTTGTGTCTGCACAGTTTGATGTCAACCCAGGTCTCAGTGGACACATGCCTATAAATGTCTGGAAGAAATGTGTTCAAAACATGCTTGTGATACTCGATATCCTCGAGCAATATCCAAACATTCTTGTTGATGATTCTGTGGAGCCTGATGAGAATGAAACCCAAAAAGGAGCAGACTTTAAGGATACTATCCGCATATGGGGAAACCTAGCAGCTTTTCTTGAAAAAGTCGATGTTGAATTCTTCAAAAGTCTACAATGCATTGATCCTCACACACGTGAGTATGTAGAAAGGCTTCAAGATGAACCCTTGTTTTTTGTCCTTGCCCAAAATGTTCAGGCGTATCTTGAACGTGTTGGGGATTACAAAGCTGCAGCTAAAGTAGCTCTAAAGCTTGTTGAGCTTGTGTATTACAAACCCCAAGAAGTATATGGTGCAATGAGGAATTTGGCTGAGCAGTCAGAGGATAAAGGAGAAGAATCAGGGGCTGAAACAAAGGAGGAAAGCCGGGGCCCACCTGCTTTTGTGAACACTCCCGAGATTGTCCCTAGAAAACCTAGTTTTCCGGATAGTAGCAGAGCGTTGATGGATATTTTGGTGTCTCTTATATACAAACATGGTGATGAAAGAACCAAGGCTCGTGCAATGCTTTGTGATATTTATCACCATGCAATTCTGGATGAGTTTTCTACATCGCGTGACTTGTTGCTAATGAGTCATTTACAGGATAATGTTCAGCATATGGATATTTCAACTCAGATACTTTTCAACAGGTCTATGGCTCAGCTTGGTTTGTGTGCTTTTAGGGCTGGACTTATTGCTGAAGGACATGGATGTCTTTCTGAATTGTATTCTGGTGGTAGGGTTAAGGAGCTTCTTGCACAAGGTGTCTCTCAAAGTCGCTATCATGAGAAGACTCCTGAACAGGTAACTTTTGACTTGAAATAAACTGCATCACCTTCATTTAGTTAACTATGTCAAGTTACTATTAAGTTCTTTCTTTATTAAGTAAGAAAGAAACACCCATATTATATATAGCTTATTGTATTCATGTTGCCTTTGTTAGACAACCCTTTATAGGGCTTTTTTTTATGACAAGGGCATTTATGCCCTTTTCACACAAACGAGAGATTGAGAGCTAATCACTGTCCCACCTTTGCTTCGTCTTTTTGGGTTGGAGAAAAAAAAAGTTGCAATTTTTGTTTCATTGACACTCTGTCTCAATCCCAGTCCAATGCAAGTCAAACACAGTACAACTTGTTCAGGACAGACAGAACATGTTGTAATTTGTTTGATTTGTATTGGACTGGGATTGAGACAGACTGTCAATGAAGCAAAAGTTGCAACTTTTTTTTCTCCAACCCAAAAAGACGAAGCAAAGGTGGGACAGTGATTTGCTCTCAATCTCTCGTTTGTGTGAAAAGGATGTAAATGCCCTTGTCATTGAAAAAAAGCCCTAGGAAACACAAGATAGATATTTAGTATTTGAAGGTGATGATTTGTGCAGGAACGGTTGGAAAGAAGAAGGCAGATGCCATACCACATGCACATCAACCTGGAACTCCTGGAAGCGGTCCATTTAATCTGTGCCATGCTCTTGGAGGTCCCGAACATGGCGGCAAACAGCCACGACGCAAGGCGGAAAGTCATCAGCAAGACTCTCCGGCGGTTGCTGGAGGTGTCTGACCGCCAGACTTTCACCGGACCGCCGGAGAACGTGCGGGACCACGTCATGGCCGCCACAAGAGCCCTCAGCAAGGGTGATTTCCAGAAATCTTTCGAAGTCATCAACTCCCTTGATGTCTGGAAGCTTCTTAGAAACCGCGAAAGCGTCCTTGAAATGCTAAAAAACAAAATCAAAGAAGAAGCTCTCAGGACTTACCTTTTCACCTACTCGGCATCCTACGAGACAATAAAGTTAGAACAGCTGGCAAAGATGTTTGACCTTTCAGAAAGTCAAACTCATTGTATTGTTAGTAAAATGATGATTGGGGAGGAGCTTCATGCCAGCTGGGATCAGCCGACACGGTGCATTGTGTTCCATGAGGTTGAGCACAGTCGATTACAAGGTCTTGCTTTCCAGTTGACTGAGAAGCTATCGGTTCTTGCTGAGAGCAATGAGCGGGCAGTGGAGGCCAGGCTTGGTGGTGGTGGGTTAGACGGTCTGCCGTCCAGGCGGCGGGAAGGTGGTCAGGACTATGCGGCGGCTGCTGGTGGTGCAAAGTGGCAGGATAATAACATGGGTTACTCGCAAGGGCGGCGGTATGGTCAGGGTCAGGGTCAAGGTCAAGGTCAGTATCAGAGGGATCGGGCGGGTCAGTCGAGAGGCGGATATCAGAGCATGAGGTATCAGGATACGGCGTATGGCGGTGCTGGGCGGGGCTATGGTGGTTCTTCCGCTAGGGGAGGTCAGATGGACGGGTCTAACCGAATGGTGAGTCTAAACAGGGGGGCTCGGGCTTAGTGAAGTGAAATCTATATTTATGTTGGGTGGGGGGTATGCGTGTCTTTTCCTCTTTTTGACTTAATTTTGTTTTTCGTGGTGTTGGGTTTGGACATGGTTGTTGTTTCTATTGCTTCATTTGAGTGAGGACAATGCACATGAGTTAATAATTTTGTCTACCATAACTTGTTAAATTATTACTCATTCAACAACTTTTATCATGTCATTATAGTTGCTTATATTTATTTAGTATTAAGCTACTTGGTGCAAGTTTTGTGGTAGCCTTTTTGGTTCAGTGTCTATTGAGTGTTATGCAAAAATTGCAACACAAGAACTGTAATTATAGCTTCATGTTTGATATAACTTGCATAAGATGTTATGGTGTGTGATGGTGTACGGAGACACTGATTGGGGGGATAACCACGTTTTTTCCTTAACCAAGAAACATAACAAAAGGTTATCTACTCTGCAATGCTCGTGGAGACCTACAGACGGTGGTAATTTGTAGTTGACTTTTTTGTGATCATAAAATTTGTAAAACTAAAACCTAATTGATGAACTTTTTTGTGTTAGAATTACCCTTCTTTAAGCAAATTTTTACTTGTCAAAGTGATAAGAGTTTATATATTATTTTTTCTCGCTTATGTGTTTTTATGGCATATTTACTTTAGAAGGTTGTTTTAACTATGTAATTATTTGAGCTGCCTTCGTGGACTGAAGTTCTTTGCTGAGGGTTTTCAGACTATTACTACATACAGAGAATCAAGTTTTCGTTTTTTTTGGAGGTGGATGTTGGGCTATGTTTCTTGCTCATCATTCTCTAAAGAACTCTATTGAGATCACAACTCTAAAAAGACAACTTGGGTTCTTCAAGTTTACAACGATCAGTTTTGTGTCATGTCTGTCAATCTTTAAATATTGTTTTAATGGATCAATTGAGTGAAGCTGATGGAGAGAGTGAATCGTCACCAACTACTAGAAATCATCGTGTTCAGTTCAATCTCTTCCTTTAGGCTTTTACATATCCATCCTGCATTGCATTTACATTTGATTGTATTTTTGCAACCTATTGATTGGAAGACGTCTTGTATGATGAATTTGGTAACTTATATTTTTATGTAAATCATAAGTCATATCTATTTTCACAAACCTAGTGAATTTGTATTATTTACACTTTAAGAGTAAAAAAAAAAATGGAAACCATTACGGAAACTACTTATTTCACGAGATTGAGAAGTGGATAAACAACATTTCACCAGCCACCCAACCGAGTATTAAGTAATATATATATATATATATATATATATATATATATATATATATATATATATATATATATATATATATATATATATATATATATATATATATATTAGTTGCAACCATTCAAATACTTTAATGTCTAAACTTGAATTAGCAAGTAAACCACATATATATGCCTCATACGTTCAATACCAAATATCGAACCTTACTCTTAGGATATTTAATATGATAGGTCTTTTAGAGTAGTACTAATCAGACATTCATTCATCCTTCAAGTTTATTGGTGTACTTATCCATCAATTGAGTCAGCACAGCATCAAACCCTTTCTCCAGCTCAATCTCCTCTTTCCAATGCCTGCTCTTCATTTCAGTCCTCTGCTCTTCAAGAGCTTTCATCAGCTTCTCCCTCTCTTCCTCAAATTCCTTCATTGCCTCAAGCTTCTCATCCCTGTGTGTTTGTGTTCATTCATATTATAACATTACTCTTTTTCTTTTTCTCTACTTTGATAAAAAAAAAAAAAAAAAAAAAAGCTACCCAATGAAAGAAACAAAAAACCACAAGCAAGTATGTTGATACCTCTTCTGAGGATCCACCACAGAATAAGATTGCTCAACTTTCATGCGCTCTTCCTTCTGTAGCTTATCAAACTTCCCTTCTTTTGCATTCCTAGCATCATGGATTATCTTCAGCTGATCTTTAAAGAATTGCTCCTGATAATCCATCTGAACAAAAAAGATGAAAAATTTATATCATTTTATCCAGACAACAATATTTTCATAAACACAACTTACCTCTTCCTTGTTTTGTTCATGGTAGCGTTGTGTTCTCTCCCTCACAATCCGGTTCTCTTCTTCAGTCTTCCTCAGCCTCTGAGTCACAAAATCAAACGACTCTTCAAGTGCTTTCGAATGCTTTTGTTCTTTAGCAATTTTGTTCTTATAATAATTCAGTTGTTGATTGTCCTCATTCATTTGCTTCAACTGGTTCACAACTCTTTCTTGGTAAGAAACCAACTCAAACTTCAGCTTCGATTTCCCTAAACAAATCACAAACAGCATGTTCACAACCATGGAATGGAATTGACAAAAGAATGGAATTGGAAAAGTGAATTCAACAGACCTTGGCAATGCTGATTGAAGAAATCCAAATCTCTTTTTGTTGCCAGGTAGCCATACAGCTGTCGCTTGCCACCTGGATAAAACAGAATCCTGCGATGATCCCACGCATCTCGGTCAGTACCCTGATGTTCAAAATGCTTGCTCAGCCTCTCGGCTTCTGTGTACCCCACTGCAGAGGATTCAAATATCAGAACACTCATTCCTCTATGCCCTTTTGGCCCATAAGAATGTCGGGCCCTCACAGCTTCATATGACCCAAAGTAATCAAGAAGCTCCTGATTCCCCATCCCAAGCCACTGAGTCACAATAATTTGTGTCAGTTTACATAAACTGATTAAACATTAAAGAAAGTGAAGATAATGTAAATCATATAACATACCTTATCATTCTCATCTTGTTCAAGTTGTGTATTCATGATGACAACCATTGGTGGCCACACGATTTCCTTATCTTTCACAACTTCATTGAGACCTTTCCATTGACCATATGACTCACCAGCTGCTACCACTGTAGCTCCCCTTCTACGCAACTCTTCCTCCAAAATTTCAGCTAGATCGCGATGAATCTTGACTCTTTTTGACCCTTTTGTTTTTGCATGTGTCACAAGAGAAGGAAGGCTGCGATACCAGTCAATGGCACCTGGACCATTTTGACATGCGGGGCAATGCCATTGTCTGGTTGGCTCGTTGATTTGCTCCACAGTCAAACTGTCCAGAGTTTCGAAAAAGTCGGAATACCATTTGTTCTTCTTTCGGACCTCATGGGTTCTTGGGGTTTCATCTGAATCATACTCATCAGTCAAAAGAACATCATCATCATCATCGGATCCATCAATCTCGCCAATGTCATTGTGGTCTTCAACATCTTCCTGGATAACAACTTCTGGAGCATTCTCTCTCCTCCCAGCATCATTTCCCAATTGCCATGCATTGGCTGGCCTAGCATTCCAATTCCATCCACTCTGAAGAGGCGGAGGAATTGCATTTGAAGCACCATTGTAGTTGTAGTTGCTACCACCACCACCACCGCCACCACCTCTGCCGCCTGTTTGAGCTGCTGCCCATGTGTTGTTTGGAGCCCTGGCCTGACCGTTTCCCCGGCCACCAGTTCTTTGGGTATCAGGTTGACCTTGACCCCATGCATTGGGTTTGGGAGTCTGGGCAGCCCACTGTTTGGAAGAAGCACCATTTCCAGTTTTGTTCTTGTTCTTTTTGGAGATGACCTCCCAACTTCCATCCTGGTTTGGATCCAGGTTCGCATCTTGGACTGCTTGATTCAATTGATCAACATCATAGCTAGAACCACTGGCTATGTTTTTACCCTTGGGTGAAGGCTTGTTGCCATCGCCTCTGTTAGACTGACCACCACCTCTTTTGGAACTCATCTGCAACACAAAAGATATCACTCTTATATAATCTGTGAGTTAACTCAAAATCATTGGTCCACTGATTTATGGATCATCAGTTGATGAGTGATTTTGGAAAGAAATATAACAGAAATGAAAAAACAACAGAAATATCAGTAGAAGTCTCATTTGACTGTGAATCGATGATCGGATGAGAAATGATAATGTTAATGTGTTATAGGTGCCATTAATCTTACTTAGAAACCAAGATTATACCGCGAATGAACGGATTAAGATAGAACTTCTAACTTCTGTTGATGTACTTCTCAAACCCTAATGTTGGATAAAATCACGAAAACCGAATAACACGGCAATTATCACTGAAAGCGCAGGGTTTACCGATGTCCTCCTCAAACCCTAATGTTTGATTCGGTTTATACAACTTTTGATTTGTGGTTACTTGTCGTCGCACTAAAAAACCGTAATCAGGGTTTTCAATGCGAGCATTTTTCAAACACCAAGATCGATATTTCCGTCAGAGACAAGGTTTGAAGTTAAAAATATAAAGATCAAACAAAGATAGTGTTCGTATACTATAAATGAAGTAGAAACTTAGAGACGAAGATAATCCAAAAAAGACACAGAGATAAGACGCTGAGGCATCGGCAAATTATTTGAAAAAACAAGCAAACGACGATTTAAGCACATACCACTACCTGATGGAGATACAGTGTATCCCGGTAGGAAATGGCGGTGAAACGAAGTAAAATCGAAGGAGTAAGAAATCGTGTGATGGATACGCGCCGCCGTGAAAAGAGGGTTAAGAGAGAGTAGCGCAAGGAATTGCTCAAGAATGACGGAGTGAGTGACCTATATTTATTGGGTGTGTTTGGTAAAAGTAGCTGTGAGCTGAAAGCGGATAGCGGTTAGCTGGTAGCAGGTAGCTGGTAGCGTGTAGCTGGTAGCTGGTAGCAGGAAGCTGTAGCTTTTATTTGTTATATGAATGTTTGGTAAAAGTAGCTGGAAGTTTTTGAAATATATAAAATTACATAAAAGGACAATTTATTAAAAATAAAAAATATATATAAATATATTTTTAAGGGTAATTATGGAAATTGATTTCAAAAGCTCCGGAGCGTTTTGTTAAAAGCTACATGAAGTAGCTTTTAGAATCGGAGCGTTTTGTTAAAACTAAAAGCTAAACGCTCGTACTGTCAAACGAAGCTTTTTGTTTAAATTAGAGCGTTTTGTCAAAAGCTAAAAGCTAGAAGCTCCCAAACGCTTCCAAAAGCTCCGTGCCAAACACGCCCATTGTCTATGCCCACGAGTGAGTGCCGTTTAATAAATGGTTAAAAGGAAAAAGACGAGCTATAGATATTTTTAGGAGGTGGATTTTAAAATTTATTCATCAAAATCCAAAATTTCGATTATAGACATGCAGTAAGTGGAGCATTTCTCAATGGGTTCCGCGGACCGACAAAATCTTCAAGGATTGACGAAATCTTCGCGGATCAATGAATTTTGTACGATAGCGTAAGGACAAAAAATGCTACGCAGAGCTACCTCTACGGAGACATTAAACTCTCTGTAGAGTGATGGTTTTGACGTTCATTAAAGCTCCCACAGAGGTTGTGACGAAGGCTCCGCGGAATAGGTGGTTAGATGGGTATTAGCGATGGTTTTTTGTGGTATAAAGATTTTTTTTATCCATTTTCAAAAATTCATCACTTGTAGGTGTAAAATTTATTTCAAATAAAATATGAGTTTTCATATTTTATGTACCGGGGGGTTGACATTTCATTTATGAAATTAACAACTACGTTAGAACAAAGTTTAACAACTTAGGTTTACTACTTCCGCCTAATTTTAACCGTTGAATATTGTTTGATTTGGTTAAAACTAAGGCTAATACGTTCAATAGTAATATAGCATTGTCATTTCGACACCTGATTCATGGGTATGTTATGAATATTGTAGACGAAGCAGATATTTATCAACTCAGAAACGTATTTGGAGGTGTTTGAGGGATGGGTCAAACAAACATAAACGGTTGATAAGATTGTATCATACAATGTTGACAACATTGTATCGGATAATGTTGAAGAGTGTCCACAAGAAGAATTGTGACAGTAAATACGGTGGAAGAAGAAAATTTATATGAGTTTGGAAGACTGGGTGACAAAACTTTGTCAGACGATGAAGAATCAAATAAAGTTGATCAGAAGATGAGTTGACACACGAAAAAAAAAAAAAAAAAAAAAAAAAACACTCTGGACATCTTTTACGGTATGCTTACCATACCTGATTGTCCTTATCCCATTCTTAAACCTGGACCATTTGATAGTTTAGGTCCAAATGATGATATGTTTGTTCGTCAAAGTATGATAACAAACAACTAATATTTGCTTTCAGTCTTAAAGCAAACAGAGAAAAGTTTCAGTTTAAGACAAAACATTCTAACAAAAACCGTTACGAGGTATATTGTGAAATTGAGAACTGTAGTTGTCGTTTATATGCAAAAGGCCTTAATCCGACTAACAAATTTGAAATCAAGATTTTCAACAACGTGCACACATGTTCGTCATTACAGATACACCCAAATCATAAGCACGCAAATTAAAAAATCATGGGTACTATATTGCATGAGATTATGGGAAAAACTCTTTCAAAGGTTTTGAGGCCTAATGAAATATCAAGGGATTTGAATGCTTTGCTAGAAATCAATGTAAGTTACAAACAAGTTTGGCGTGCAAAACAATATGCTATGGAAGTGTTGTTGGAATCCTTTGAAAAATGTTTTTCTAAACTTCCTATTTATTTTCACAACTTGAAGAAGCATAATCGTGGTACAGTGACCTATATACAAACAGATTTTGAAGATTTCTTCGAGTGTCGTTTTTATGCCATTGGCAGCACGGTAAATACAAAAAACTTGTTCTTATTTAATATATACTAGTTTGTAAAAAAAATGTAGAGTGTTTATGTGTTCCATACAAATATATTGTAGATATGAGCATTTAAACGTTTTTATCGTAAAGTCATAATTATGGATGGTGCCCATTCGAAAGGGGTTTTAAGGGAACCATATTTCATGCAGTAGCTATGGATGGGAACAACCAGATAGTGTCGGTTGAGCACGAAATATGCAAAAACAAGAGTGGTCTTACTTGGACATGGTTTCTTGAAAAGTTTTATGAATGCATTGGTGATTGTCAAGATTTGACATTTGTAACTGATAGGGCCGATGCAATTCGGGTTAGTATTGAAAATGTTTTCCCAAACGCTCATCATGGCGTGTGTGTTTTTCATCTACTAGGAAACATAGTACACCAGTTCGAAAAAAATGATAAAACTAAAGTCTTGTTTTGGAGGCTTGTGAGAGCTTACAAAACAAATGTATTTAGAGATTTATGGTATAGATTTAGTTCTACTGGGCCGCAAGCAGTGGCATACCTAAGTGAAATTCCACGTGTTAAATGGATCTAGAGCATATTCTGGTCGAAACGGTACGATTACATAACCTCCAATAGTGTAGAGTCCATGAATGCTTTATCTGTAGATGCAAGGAAGATGCCTATTGTTGAGTATAGTGTGTTGCGTCATTGGGCTCTGTTGTATAGTCCAGTTTTGTCACGGATTTGGGTCTGTCCAACCGTGTTAATCTTTTTAGGGTTTAGTATATAAGGTGCATGCATGCATCCTTGTCATTAACGCTTTTATTATTATCATATTGATTGTACTGTAAACCCTAGCACACCTCTACAGTAGAAGTTCTTAATCGAGCTCTTCTGAGGTGTGACTATATTTTAATCATTCGACATACATTTGATTCATTGTGTGTTCAAGAGTTTGTTTGTCTTATTGATTTACCTGTCAAAGATCTAATCGATCTAAAGAGTTTTCAACTCATCAATTGGTATCAGAGCAGGAGACTATGTAATCTATATGCATCTCTTCTGTTGAAGAAGGTTTTAGGGTTTTCTGCTATTATCGTTTTCTGCTAGAACCATCATCCTTCATTGACGCGGTTCTTAGACTTCGATCTTACCCTAACTTTGTTTACTAGTCTGATCTTGAACAGGTTTCAAAATAAAATCATCATGTCTCTTGAAGATTCACAAACGAACCCAATCAACATCTCCAATAGTATCCGATCAACCACCAGGATTCCTATCATGTATACTCAAGATTATGAAGTTTGGACGCATCATTTTGAAGACTATGTGATTGGTTCAGAAGATAATGGATACTTAATCTGGGAAGCGATCACTATATGTCCATTTGTTCACTCTTGCACAAACAGAACAATCAAGACGCAAAAGGAGTACAACCAACTCATGGTTGATGTAAAGGATGTTCCTCAAGACGAAAAGGAAAAGCTTGTGAGCAACATTAAAGCACTACGAATGATCATATTCGCCCTACAATCTGACACATTCCGGTTGGTCAGTTCATGTACGATGGCTAAAGAAATATGGGACAGATTGAAGGAGTTATATTCTACTGGTGAGGATCTTGAGCATTCTATCCAAACCTTACTGCTTTCAGAGTTTGGAGATTTCAAGCAAAAACCAGAAAAGAAGCTCATTCAAGCCTTTGATTGTTTCAATAATCTTCTCAGCAAAATGTTAAAGCATGGCATAGAAAGGAAGGTAATTGAGCAAAAGGTCACATTCATGAATGACCTAAGAACCGAATGGATGGCGATGATGTCCACAGTAAAAGCTCATGAACAATTCAAAGCTTACTCCTTGGCGAAGCTAGTGGGGATTCTAAAATCACACGAAAGTGCAGTGACCAAAGAAACGAATGTGGTTTCAAGCATGGGATCTTTAGCTCTCATATCAAAAGAAAATAGCGTGGTTGAAGAAGAAGAAGATTTAGATCTATTAGAATTTGATCTAACCAATGGATATTATGCTTTGATGGTCTCTAATCCAAAGAAGTTCGTGCGTAGAAAGTTTCCTAACTCCAAGCACCGGAACTGGAAAGGAAGCTATAGTTCAGATAAAGCAAAGGAGGAACTGAAGAACTCTCCTCAGCATGAAGAACCGAAGAAGGATAGTAAGCTTGTTGGTGACTCTGGATTTGATTGTTACTTCTGCAAAGGCAAAAATCACTTTGCCAAAGATTGTGTCTTGAGAAAGATGTCAGAAAAGAACTAGAATGAAGACGATGAAGTCTACTACCTGCGAAAGCTAGAAGAAATAAAGAAGAATAAAGTTGCTGCTAACAACACTATGAATGCTTTAATTGTGCAGGAAAATCTCATGGATGATGAGTTTGGTGGTGTGGAAGTCTGGTCTACAAACTCTGAGGACAAAGAGGTTCGTAAGCCCACACATGGCAAGGCTTTTGTGGCAAAAGAAGCTGAAACTGAAGGTGCAGGAGAAATACTTAATGGTGACTGCTGGAGTGTCACAGATAAGAGGCTACACAACTGATGGGGGTTGTGATGAAGCAAGGGAGCGAGAAGACAGGTGCTTCGCTACCAAACTAGTTGGCGAGCAGATCAACAAATGCGACCAGTTGATCAAGAAGGTGCAATCAATTCTCGAATCATTAAAAATCCCTGTCACAAACTATGAAAAAAACTAAACGAATTAAATTTTAAATTTTCTAGTTTAAGTGGTAGTTTAACACAAAATCGCCTCATAAACTCTAACCTAACTGATCAACTCAGCAGGGTGTCTTCGAAGAGTGAGGAGAGACGGATCTGGATAGAGAAAAAGGAGAACGAGTTAGTTTGGATTAAGGATGAGACAATTTATTTGCAAAGGGATAATTTAAAGCCTTTAAAACAGAAAAATGTTTTTTGTTTAATTGTTAATCGTTTATATCCCAATATTACCCAATTGCATCTGGATTGTGAAATAGGCAAGAAAATTCATAGTATGATTATGCCCTTCCTTGAATTTAAGGAGGATGAAATTGATGCTGATGTATATAACTGTGAAGCTGTTGTATCTTCTGATGAAATTTCTCCAGCATACATAAATGGTCTTGACAAAATAGAGTCATTCATCGAGTCCAAAGACCATAAGGACATGCTTAAGAACTTTTTGGAAGAAAATGACAAATTAAAAATTAAAACCGAAACCATGCAGAAGTTTAACTCGTTGAATACCAAATTAAGTTCAGAAAACAAAATTGATGTTGAAAATACTTCTGAATTTGATGAGGATGATGATATGAGTGAAATATCCGTAGAGGATGAGGTGGATTTTTCTGAATTTGTCAAGAGCGAACTCGAGCCTATCAAAAATCTCATTTCTGGAAATTCTGTTGAGTTCGCTCGCTTGCCCCAAAATAAGTCCAAAATTCTGAAAGAAAAGGTTATGGTATATCAAAAGGTACAAACCGTACCAAATCAGGTTTATGCAGTTACAGGAGTCACACAACAACAAACAGCCGAATTGACAACAATAGTGAACGAGGACAATGCTGAAGGCTGTGAGGAGCATTTCTGGTCAACTCCAATCGACAATGCTGATGAGATGGTTGGTCTGTCTGAGAAAACATCATGGAGGGTCAAAGGCAAATATGTGGAAGAACCACTCAACAAGCCTGCACGTTTTGATGTGCCAAGCACAAGTGGTACCAAAAAGATTCCAAGAGAACCAGTTAAGGCGACAAGTGGAACCTCCTCGCTAAAGAGCGAACCTCATGATGAAAGATCAAAACCCAATGTTAACATCCATAAAACTCCAAAGCAGTTGTCAGAGTAGAAACAACAACGTAATAGGGGATATAGGAAGAATATCTCTGAAAGGAAGCAGTTGTGGCAGTCCTAAAA